ACATACGAAAATCAGGGTTTTACAATAATATTATCTAYACATTTACACACGTGGTAATGAAGTGGTATCTACTTCCATGTCGCGGCTACTTGCATTTCTATGTGTAGCTAATGCAATAGATAGAGTTGTACTCGATTTTCAACAATATAATATTTAGCTGGAAACTCCTAGTTGTAGGAGCACTGTGATACTACCTCTCGTACGTCTTATGGATTAGGTCATTTTTTTTGTTACATTTCTGTTTTAACTTTTAACGTTACCTTTCCTCCCTCTCAATCCTTGGCAGTCCTCCTAGACGACTAAAACGTAAATGGTGCAGAGACCTGTTACAAATTCCAATATAGAAAAGAAAAAAAAAAKWAAAATTGAATATAGGTACAATAATTCATTTACTTTTTCATATATAACATCAAAATTAAATTGTCATCATTGGGTGACTTCTTTACTCACTTTTGTATTTGTATACTCATGTTATCTGTACCTATCGTTATCATATATGCTTATTATGTCATCTGATATAGATTGTATATTACGACTTAAAAAAAAAAAAAATTTTTAACGTAGGACGTGGATTATATTTTTCAAATTAATTACACATTCAAATCAGTTTTCAGAAGTCTTATCACATTATAAGGTCTATCGATATGATTAAAAAATATCAGTACCTACATTTTTTTTTTTAAATGACTTATCGTTTACAATTCTCTTGATGTATCTAAAACTATAGAATGCTAAATGTGAGCAATAATGAATTAATGACTAGTTAACAAAATCTACGAATTAAATWAAATTTCGTTTTTAGAAATATTTTAAAACGATTTTATTGGAATACATAAGTTACAAAATAAATATCACGACGCATGAAATAGGTTCAATATTACTTATTAGTTATTACAGATCAAACAATAATTATTACATTCRATTTCTGATGATGAGTTATTATTTATCTTTACTGTTACAAAAATAATGTATTTTTATTGCCAAGTGTATAAATATATATTAAAAAATATCAAAATCTATTGCAGTTAAATAATAACAATATTAATAGTTTTTGATAAGTATTGAACTCATTTCCGTACACACGTGTGATTATTTTTGAAAATAGTATTAAATTATCTACCTATTATATTTCTAATTCAATTTAAAGTTTAATTATACTGATAAATCACAAATGAATAACAACACGGAGGTATAGTTAACAATATTATATTTTAATTAACACTATAAGACAARAGTACTTTATTATAGGTCGATTTAAAGTGCGAAATCTTATTTAAAATACAAATTTCTTGATATTATTCCTATATAGCCRAAACCACGATGAATACCTATGAAAATAATCATTATTAAATCAGATGATGTGCTGGAAAAGTTCTATGTAATAATTATATATTAATAATGATAACCGTTATTTTTGACCGAAAATTATTGTAAAATATAATATTATAATTACAACAGACRTGATATATTTTATCACGTATTCTTTTTTTTTTTTTGTTCATAAAAGCAGAACAAATATTACCGTAGTAATTATTAAATTACATTATTTATAATTTTGCTGTTTTATACTGATTAAGGTATTAATTAAAAATTAACTGTAATAATATTCAGGTACATAATTAAGTCCTTTTAAAAAAATATTTTTATTCACGGAATGTATACTTCCCAACATACTTATCATGAATTCATGAGGTATAATATTTCATACGGAGGAGTGTGTAGGCAACATAAGCTAATATCTAATCTATAAGATTTTAATTCTTGTGCAGTATACTAAGTAAAAGTATTTTAAAACAAGTATTCGAATACTTATTAAATACGTATTTTCAATAATTTTGAAGAAAAAAAGTTAATATACTGCATGTATCGAAAATCAAATACCATTTATCAAACAATTTTTTATTTTATTTAGTTTCTATATTTTAGTTTAATTTTAATTTTAGTCACGTTACAAAAAAAACTTGGAGTCTGTAATAATGTATCTATCACCTGCACAWTATAAATAAGTTGGATCCTTAGATGTAATTAATACAATTATATAKTATTATCTTTTCAATGACGTCTTTGTGTTGTTTTATAGCAATTTATCAGTCAGTGAGTAATGCATAGAATTATTATAATTGGTTCAAAAAGTTCTATTTTAAAGTGTTATTATTTCGAAATATAAAAATAAAATTATATTATTATAAATTTATAAATATTGTTTAGTAATTAAGAGGATTTTTCTACGAGGTGTGTCAACAACAGCCGTGTAACTTGATTAATTTTAGGTGAAACTGGCACGCTCAGAATTTTAAAACGATTTATCGTCCCTATCGAATGGATGTACGAGTAAAACGTTCCTAATACAACACTGTCTAGCTTCAGCCTCGAGTGCCTAATATCCAGTCATTTGTTAGGTTTGATCTTATTCATTGCACGAGCGCATATATTATAATAGATATTAGTTATTTTTTAATTAATACATGAATTATAATTGTTGTTTCGGAATATAATACAGTTATTCTGACCAATGCAAAATAATAAATGCATTTATATTTTCGAATTCAATACCAATAATACTTATATGTCTTTAGCGTGTCATAATATAAAGATAAAAAGTTGTTAGATAAATATTCAAAATTAAACCGTCACACTTGGGTCGAATACATTCGTTTGAATTAAATTTCGCTTTTGGTGAGTTAATTGCATGTAGGTAGTCCAWAGTATAATATTTTATTATTTGTAAAATATAGTATAACTATAAATGTGTATAGAAATAATTTTGTGACTAGCTATATATAATATACATAGTGATGACCCCTAAAATATGTATTTATTTCGTTGAACCAACCTGCTTCCGACATTATACACACACACACACACACACACACACACACACACACACACACATATAAATATATATACCTACACGAGTATATTATACAACTAGGATCGTTATTATTAATTTAAATCTATTTCTTCAAAGTTTGAACTTATTTTTTTTTTTTAATATTGTGCTTTATTATATTTAATCAGCGGATCATTACAATTACAATTTATTACAACCTATTATTGTACTGGTATTTGGTACCTAGACCTAAACGTGTTTCGGATATTTTTTTATATTAATTCGAGGCAATATTAATAATGGCCCACTGGATCATTTGTGTACGTGCCGTATGCATTTTTCATGCATTCAAATTTAATATAATATGTTGTGTATTTGTTTGTGAGTAAATAAAACAGTACGATAGTTTTATAATATTTTAACATTCTATGCTGGCCGCGCATTTGTTCCCGTTTTTTACCACTCCAACAACTGTAAGTGCGATGCAAACATTMTAYGACTCAGTTTCACACYACGAAAATTATCGAATCGATAAGACCGTTAATCACGCTCGGATATAACACATTTTTTCTTCGTGAAATTATAATGTTATAATAATAATTTATTTGTGTTATTACAGTGCAGCTGAACACTGCTCAAAAAATAATATTATAAAATTGCAGATGTACAGAGGTAAAAATATGAGAAAGTTCACACAGACGGTTACTTGGGGTTTGAGACTCGCCACGGTCACCTCAATAGTACGAATCCTTCGTTAGTAAAATAAAAAATAAATCGATTTTTACGTAGGCTTTTAAATTCGTCTCGTTATACACCTAACGACGAGGTTGACTCCATGTGTGACCAATGATTTTTGGTAGGTACTWGAAACCAATAGGACACGGGTTAGGTATACGATGATGTATAGATAACATGACGCGTAAAAAAAACATATCAACTGTAGTTGTATAAAATTATAGGTAGTGTTCGCGCGTCCAGCTGTTTCGGGCAATCGACTATAATATTAAAATAAAATAATAATAATATATGTATATTAGCGTGTATGGTGTGCATAGAATTACAATTAACGTATCTCTACGAACTTTGTGGAACACGTATCCACTACAGCGCCGGCCGTATCCCGTTAAATAACAAGAACTACATTATTCCAATACGTCCAGCACCTCATATTTCGAATAACACCATTAGCTCTGACCTACAAATCCTCGATCAAAAATAATTATTAGGTGTACACATACTATTATAATATGTTGTTGTATTATTTATAGACACTAAAACGAGTTTTATTATGATCCTTTTCTTTTTTTCAGTAATAACATTATACCAGAATTCGACGACCCTAATATAATATGAATTATGATAATATATTCATGCTGGTATAAATATGTGTCGTATCAATTGCCTATATTATGCGCATTTTATTTTGCTTTATACCGTACTCGCAGCTACTCGCTACTTTTCAAAGCAAACAGCRGCCGGAAATTTCCGAAATCGCTGTTCATTTTTCACTTCGTTTGACTACCTATAATTAATAATATAATATGTTAACGTCGTGAAATGTGCATCGTCATCGCGTAATATACGAACACGTTACACATAAATTACAACCGTGTTATTCGGTATTGTACAAGACGACGTGTTGGTTTTATCAATAATATGTTATGATTTTCATAAAGTATAAAAAGTTTCCTATTTAAATTAAAAACGTTATTAGAATCTATCGCTAATTTCGAGCTGTGTAGCTGTGCAGTTAGATACTTGCATGTATACTATAGCTGCGGTAGGTACCTACTAGCTATCCATATTTACCAGCGTTGTAATTATGAGAATTAAACAAAAATCCGTATATTAGTTATGGAGCGATAGAATGACTTTGATAACTTTGATTCTGTACGATTAATATGTCACACATTTGATACATAATATCAAATTATGACATACCTGACACGACGAGAAGAGTCCCATGGACAGCTCGAGTTTTGTTCACTCGTAAAACTCGATCGTAGAGTACGATGTTAAATGTATTATTGTAATACACATAACTGATTCAGTATTGAAACTCAGCCACGGCGGTATAATATCCGTTGCGGATTTGGAATGTAATATTGTTACGGGATAAAATCGGTGCGATTTAAATAAAATAACACAAGGTTTTTCGAAAACATCAAAATATAGTATGAACGTTTCAAACAATGTTGAAATATATCAATATAAATATTATATAAATAATAAATAAATAATGTACAAATAAGTTTAGTGAGCTTTTGCGTGTGGCGAAGCTCGCGTTTCGATGGCTCGATTGAACTTTGATTGTCGACGGGGTTGTTGTGTGTGAGCTGCACTACCGGTGATGTGACACGATGTAATGGTGTAGGCAAATGCGGCGATGGCGTTGTCGTATAAGCTGTCGTCAACTCGAGGACTTCTACTGGAAACGGTACCGGAAAAAAAAACAACGAAAATCAATCAACTGTGCGTGTACAGATAATGTGAGCGTGRCCCTAAGTCGGGGGACGCATTAGCAGTGGTTGCCGGAATGGCTAGACCGGAAACTCACGTTTGGCGTGGGCGTTTACTGGGATGTCTGCGGTGCTTGGGCGCCGTAGGCCATCTGTTGGGCGTCGACGCTGCGTCCCCATCCACCRCTGGACGAACCACCGCCGTATCCTCCGGAAGCGATGTCTGCGMCTCCAGCACTGCCGTACGAGTCGTGTCCRCCGTGCACTTCGTGGTGGTGTTGTGGGACCACCTCGTAGGTGACGGTCTTCTCGTGGTGTTTGCTGAGCACCTTCTGCAGGACTCCGATCAGGGAAAGCACCAGTGCGATGGTACCGAACAGCAAGGCTTTACCGGCGATCAGGGCGATCTTACCGATGGCGAATGGCAGGATGGCAGCGAGTTTGATCTTCAACAGGGTCAARAGTGTGAGGAGGACGTGCTTGCTCTTCTTCTCTGCAAATAAAGGAAACCAACGTAAGCATGATAATATTATTGTGATGACATCGGACAACGGCGACGACAATTGTGTGGTATACACGGGTCATGGTACACGGTTACCACCAGGGTTATTGTTCCGAACCGGCYGCGTAATCGGAAACGCTTAGGATCGACCGAGACGGAGAACGACCGATCTCAGTGGTTCGCGTGTGTGCGTGTGTGCGTGCGTGCGTCACTATCAATATCGCATTACGGATGCACGGCCCGATGACCGCGACGATCGTGGTCGTGTGTTTTTCATCCGCTGGCGAGCCGTCGGGTATCGCGTTGCTCTATATATGCTCTTCGTGGGCACGGGCTGGGGGTGAGCACTTTCTAAAACCGGTTTTTCGTGCGGCACGACGATGTTTTCTATAATATAATACGACCGCATCGCATCGTTTCCCGCGACCGAGAACTTTGGAACGCGGGGTGTTTATTTCTATTTATTTGTGTGTCCGACTGATGATATTATTATTATTATTATTAWTAATAATAGTAATATTGTTGTTATAAAGAGAAAGATGTCGGCGGCGGAGTCGTGGGAGTGTGTGGAAAACGAGATTCTCGCGAGATTTGATTGACGCGTAGAAAGTCGTCTCCGATAATAATTATACGTATCATTACTATTTAGGTACAATAATGTACACTAATACAACTACGACTGTGCGGACTACCACGCACCTGTATGTTATTAMATCGAGGCGGCGGGGGACCGGTTGACGGTCGGGTTTTTTTATTTTAATCGAAATATGCTTGAGCGCAATAATAATAATAAACAAGACTAGAATGTGGGTTGGACGGACTCTCGGGAATCGGGTCAGTAAGGACACCGCGGCGGGTGAACGACAACCGTCGCGATCCGGACGACCTATCTGGCGGCGGGTCGCGGGTCGTTTACGGAAGTCGCCGTGCTGATACGAAGCCGTCTCTTCTCTGGCGGCCACCGCTGCGGTATACATAATATTATTACCGCTGAGGTAATAACATTATCGTCGTCATCGTTGTTATTATTATGGCTGCGGTGTATAACTACCGTTTAGACCGCACGGACGCCCGAGGGCCATCGCGGTGTACTTAAGTGCCGAGTATCATCGTCGTCGAAACGATTCGTTCGCCTAGTCATCCCAACGCGCGTGTGAACCGTTTACCTCATAGTTTGATACATGGTAATTTTTATTATTATTATCAGTGATCATGTTATGCGTATTATTAATAGTTAATATCGACCAATAAAGTATAACGAGGGGAGATAAAAATAAAAATCACGAATATAATAAAATCATCATAGTTCAAGTTTTCAAATTAAATGGGTTCGACAATAACAATAAAATTCAAAAAATTAATTAATCGGCTGTAAAAAAAAAATATTGCAGTCACGTTTATCGAAATAACTGTTATGATAATAAATTTATTTGTATTCACTGTATACATCAAGCTGTAACTTCGCGTCTGTATGAATTATATTTTTATAACACTTGTTAAAATATTGTTATCAATATCAAATAACGATGATTAGTTTACTTTAATACTTTTCAGATAAATTGTGTAGCAATATTATTAAGTCGAATTTACCGTAGATATGTAATTGCTACCTATAGTACGAGACTACATGATTCTTAAACTATGCGATTGCCGAATATAAAGATTTTGGAAATGTAAACGATTGATTGTCAAATAATCGAAACTATTGTTATATAAGTTATGTGTGATTGGAAAATGCATTTTGTTTATACGATGTTTGAGTTTGTTATTTTTTTGTTTTAAATAAGCGAGGTTATAAACACCGTTCTATTTTAATTATTTTCATAGAAACTATTATATGATTATTAACTTACTCTTTTTGATTCCACGGTTTTCTTCGGAGGAGTCTTCTTCTTCGTTGTCTCCGAGCAATTGGTTGACGGTGTCGCTGATGGACTTTCCAGTTCTGGAAACGGCGTTGACTATGTCAACTCCCTTGATGTCGACCTTAATGGAATGTTCGTTCAGGTAACGCAATACGCGTTTGACGACCAGAGATTCCATGTCCTTGGGTTGGTCTGCACTGCCGTCCAATGATAATGACCGTGGGGCACCGTCTCCTGGACTTCCGGCAGATCTGACCACAGTCACACCCTCGGTCAGGTTGATTTCATCCTTGTTCAAAGCCTTGTCAACGTAAGCGAACAATTTGTATTTGATGCATGACACGGAACCTTTGTTAATGCAGTCGTTGTAGATGCCGTCCAATAAGTCCTCTTTGGCTTGGATGGAGTTGTGGCCGACGGACTGGGAGTCCATGCCGGATGGCAAGCTCCATGCAAAGCCGACGGTCAAGAACAGGCAAAGACATATCCTCAAGGAGTTCATGGTTGAGATGGGTAGGTATGATTTGAGTTGCGGACCGCACTGAAGTCTGAAAAGCACACGATGTGACGCCCCGAAACCCAAAAACTGTATGATAGATAGGACGTGGTAGCCGATGTTTATATACCGGGCCCCCACTTCGGTGTGCCGGGCACTTCAGCCACTTTTCGACGCCACCGATCTGGACCCCCGGAAGATGATGGACTTTCTCTATCTACCGGTTACTGGCTCCTTCCTTTCGCGTTCTACACACACATACACACACACATTTACCGGCGGCACAAATTTTTGATATTCTCAATGGACTCTGCGTTATTATCGCTATATTATTAATATTATTTTAAACACCATATATGCTAATTTCCATAATAACTTGTAATGCTAATAACGACTTTGTATACGATTTTTACAGAATGTATAATGTCTGAAATTTCATGATTGGCTACACGAATTGACATAATTTGCGATTTTCAAAGTCTTTTTCGTAGGTATTATACTATTCGTATGCATAAAAATCTATTGATTTTAAATTTATTTTGCGAATAAAAAAATATTATTATAATTCAGCATTGTATTGTGTTACATTATGAATTTAATTATTTTATTACATGGCACTAGGATATAAGAATAGAATATATTGTATAATTATTAACAGAGACTGTTGAAGTATACCCCMTGAAAAATACTGTTTTTAATATATTTAATTTTTGTGTATTTTATATTTCTTTAAAGTTCACAGTTTAGTTCATATTTAAATTTAAAAAAACCCTTCGGACTGTGGTTGTACTAATAACTTATTAAGAATGCTTTATTAAAAGATAGCAATTTTTCTATTAAAATTTTAATAAAGTAATAATATGTTATCATTTAAAGGACGAAAAAAGTTAATTTTTTAAAAACCACTTAATTCATGATATTATTAAAACAGTGAATGATTTGTTCTTTATGTTTCACTAGTTCATAATATAAAATTAAAAATATAAATGTAATACATTGATTTGATACCATGATAATATATGTTTAAACAATTTTACTATAGGAAGTTCAAAGTTAAAACCACGAATCTGTACAAATACATAAATATTTGTGTCACATAAAGATACCTATATACATTGAACATTACACTTGACATAGTATGAACTAAATGAATGTTAAATAAAATGTTTATAACTTAACCATAGGTTTAATCTAAACAGATACACCATAATCATATTAAAAAAAAAAAAATGTATTATGTTTAACTATTATTATAAGTACCAACTAACATTTGTACAACACAAATTGATGTTACAGACAGACATTCAGTTTTTATGTAAAGCAAAATTACTTTTTTTAAACCATCTATAAAATAGTAAATTTTTGTTTGGGTTCTTTAGACTTAATTCATAATTGTTAGGCATGTTATTTTATGATTTTTCATGCATTGATGTATGATGTGACAATTAATACGAAATAATTTTCCAAAACCATATTTGCTTTACAATACATAGATATTAGTTTTAGATATGTTAAAAACTTAAAACTGATATCCATTACTTTTATAAACTATACACTAAATAATGAATACACATTTTTTGTTTTTGATTTTCCCTCACGCTGTATAATACTCACACGTAACTTGCTTGTGTCAATTTTATATTTAACAATGTAATTCTGTATGGTGAATGACTAATTATCCAAAATATCTTCTTGAATATTGATATTTTGTTTGACATTTATTTTTCGAAAAAGGTTGTAATAAAAATCAAAATTTGAATTTGATTACTATGTCTTAATAATCAAAACATAAAAAAACAATCATCACATCTTTATAGCTAGGTATATGTCATATTTCTGATAAGTCGTTTATTTTAACATAAATATTTTTTTGATCTTAGTAAATTTCAAAAATTTCAAATCAAATTTAAAGTCTTAAATTTATAATATTACCTATTATATGTCTAAAAGAGGACTGGAAAATCCGCTAACTAAAAATTATAATATTTACGCGTTCGATAAATTTTGGAATTCTATTAGACATAATAGACTTTTTTTTACGATCAGTTGAGTTAATTTATTTATATTTGCATTTTTTTTCTTGTTTATGATTAAGTGTAGGTTGTTTAATTTAATTTTTCTATTGATCAAATAAAGTACACTCAAAAAAAATGTACAACTATAAAAAGTTTTTATTTTAAATTTTTCTGATTTAATAATCATATTGTTATTTTATTGAAAGTATTATTTTTATTTTCACTTAACTATAATAATTAATTATCATTAGATGCTCAAAGACCTTATTTCGTACATTTGAACCTGTTAATGACACTTAGGCTTATTAATTACATTTCTATACTAGTTCGTTTATAAATAATCTAAGCGGTATGTACATTGATCATAAATTAATATTGTTTGTTTTTTTTATGAGTTTTGGTTACCACGTTATTGTTTAGTGTCCTACTCTGTTCGAACAGTTGTCACCATAATTATATAATTTAATGTGAGTATATTTACGTTTAAACACATTGTTTAGTTTCGCTATTTATTTAATATTTGAATATGTGTGAGAGACAAAACGTGTAAATGCATGATGCATATTATTCTTGAAATTTAATTCACAGAACTTCTTTAAAAATTTAAATAAACCATTGTATACTATTAAGTACAATTAATAGTTTTCACATAAAATATTTCACCTAACTCAATTATTATTAACGAGAGATTGTTCTATATGTTATTTGTTTACTTTTTAATTTTTAATTACTTAAAAATCTACGGAATACTTACTATTATAGTTCACTGCAAATAAATTTAATTTAAATATTTCATACTATATTTTATTTATCTTATGGTAATTTTGTGATTATTATAATATTTTTACTTTGTTCTTTAAAAATTATAACAGCTTATGGTAATATCTCCATAGGACAAGATATTCAAAATTACAATTATTGGAGCATACAAATCATTATTTTTTTTTATTAATTACTATCTATTTTAATACGTTAATCAAAATGAATCAAGATTAAGTAGGTACTTATTTTTTAAATCTACACACTGACCCATAATATTTTCCATACAATATTTAATTACATTTACGCATCACACCAGACCTTATTTTAAAAATTTTTGGAGATTCCTGAACTAGACATGACATTAAATTAGAAGGTTCTTTCTGATTACCTATCATTAAATGTAAAATAAATATTCAAATTTTATTGCGTTGTGCGTACCTAATTCAAAGAAAATTATTGATATTTTTAATACTATTGGATTTTTTTCATAATAGYGATAATGCAGTGTGACATATTTTGTTAAACCACCGCAATTTCCAACAAACTATTACCAAATAATATTTTTATTAATATATACTACAAATATTATTTTTAAATTAATAGTTTATACATTAAGAAGAACCAGTTTAATGATTTAAATTTCAAAATATGTATTTAGGACGTTTTGACATTTATACGATACCGCTTGTACACATATGCAGAACCTCACTGGAATTGTCAGTACAACTTCCAATTAAAAATTAAAAACGAAAAACGTTTTTAATATCGGCCATCTGAAGCACCCAATATATTATTGTAAAAGATTTTTTTTCATAATCGATAAACAGTGAAAATTAGTTTAAAATTGCACACATACTACTATTTTTATCAAATATGTTTCAGACAACATTATATAAATATCATTGAGAATTGAGACTTGTGTCTTGTATTTTTTTGTGTACTTTTGGTCGTAGCAAAGTCTAGTTAATATTATTGATTATTGTCATAACTATTGTAAAATAACGATTACTCTGCACTATACATCTTTTTTAAAAGTGAGATTATCGTTACCATTTCGTTAATTATCTAATCTATTAAACTTTTCTAAAATATTATATTTTATAATATTTAATACGTTTTATTTGGTACTTTCCACAATTATACCTTAATAATATTAACTTCATTCAACCGCCGTCTATCAAAGTATTTTTTTATTTTATTTGTTGAAAATATACAATGTTCAATTATAGACATGTCCCATGTTTATATTTGTTGTACTACTCGAAACAGAACAAGTTTAATGACTTGCGAGTCATGACATTTAGTACTACTATTATATCCACTATGATTATTACTAAAAGAGAATCCATTTTATTGTTTAAAATGAAAAACTATCAGACATCACGTAGGTATAATAATAAACATTTGTGCCTTAAATATTTGTATAAAAAGAAATTGCTTACTTCTCTAAAAKAAAATAAAATAGAAACACTATTTATAGAGTTAATATTTAATCGTTAACATCTGGTGTATCGAAATTAATGCAAAGAGTGATTTTTTATTTTTTCAATCCGTCTCTTGCAATATAGGATACTATGTTCTCGTAATTGCAGTGAAAATATCATTAATACGGGTACATCAAATTCTAGGTACAGCAAACCATAATATTTTATACAATCAAAGTCAAAAACATTGCTCGTCATAATGCGTTTAGTGTTTTTGTCCATTGTTATACTGTGATTGTAGGTATAACGTTAAGTGCAAGTGTTACAGKAAAATAATATGTCAATAATGTTATATCGATTTGTGAAATTAATATCATCAGCAGGCCGACAACCACWCTGTGCGTTGATTGACCTCCGCGATTCCCGTAAACTACATTCTTCAAGACAACCGYWTCGACAACCATTGCGTCTTCGTCGTCGTAGTTCCGGTGAATGATGAAAGTGGTTTTATGAATGAATGTATATGTATCGCGTGTACGTACAAATACGCACACACAATCATACATGCGAATATAAGTACATAAACTGGAACTGGAATTCAGATCCCGTCGTACGCAAAAGTGGTATCGCAAGTTCCACATGGTCGGCAAGCGTATTATTATTATTATTGTTATTATTATTATAGCCGCGAGTAAAATAAAATGTACTTGTATAAATATTTGGCAAAACCGGGAGTGTTCGGTCGGGAACGCGAAAATGAAAGAAAAAAAAATAGTCTCTTAGAATTATAAATAGTAATTACACGTGCACTCACACACGACTCTGTTATAACATGTGTAAATATCATTACGCCGATCGGATTGTTCCGCGAGCGCAGTTTAATTCAAGTCGGAGCGGGGA